GGCAGCAGGGCCAGGAGTCTGCCTACCAAAAAACTCCAGTCCACACACATCGGACACTCACTTCATGTTCCCAGGCTGCCTGCAGGAAAGCAGTGAGTGGAAATCAGTACAGCAGAGAGCTACGGGACAGTCCTCGGGAACATTCTTATTCACGGGCTTAGAAAGCTGGTGACGTCTGCAAGGCAGAACGCTCATTTAAGATGAGAATTTCCTGGAGGCTCCTCAGGCAAAGAGATGGAGGTATTTGACCTTTTCTATGACTCAGGGGATAAGCAATTACTTTTGCAGCCTCCATGTCAGCTTCCAAGGTTGACACTTCATTCATTCTCAAAAATGAGATGGCATTCATGAGAGTGATTGCCGTAAAAGGACTTGGTCACACAAACACTCCTGTACACAGAAATTCTCCCTTCCACAGAAGGATGGCCCAGTGTGAGCATGCTGGGTAGGCTCAGGTGTTCGACTGCCTGAACGTGGTTCTAGGTTCTTCACCGAGTCTCTGTGTGCTCGGCTTCTTCCCCTGTGAAATGAGGATGATGGTGGTACCTACCTCGCAGGTCTAACAATGCTGAAGCATTTAGCAAGCTTTGGATCTGTGTTCATTACACTTGACCCTAGTGGCCACTGACCCTTGGAGACTGCTAGTGAGACTCAAATCTGTGTGTCAGGAAGCAGAAAGGAGGACCTCATCCATTGTCATAAGACTGGCTGCAGGTTGAAGCGCGGCCACCAGACACAGCTCCCACTGGTTGGGGTGAAGGCTGAGCTGGGACTCTGTAGCATTTCTACAGCCTTTGAAGGAGCACTGTACCTGGAGCACAGGGCTCCAATCTCAGCTGTCTCTAACCCCACCTGGGCTGTGTTTTCCTCACCCGGAAATGAGGCTCACACTGAGGATTGCCTGAGCTGGTCCCAGTGACTGTAGTAGTGTCTGGCACACAGAAGTCTTAACGTTTGTCTGTCCAGTTTCTTGGTTTGCCTGGCTAGCCAGGACATAGCCCCATTGTGATGCTGCCCTACTGGCTCTTCTTTATCAATCCTTCACCCAATAGTTAAGTACCATGGAAGAAACCCTAGTTTGCAGTTACAAAACAAACAAAAAACAGAACAGTGAAAAATTGGAAGAATCTCTGCTCCCAGGTAGTCCGTTCTTCCTATCCCAGGAAATGTAACGTGGGTCACAAAGTGGCCCTCACTTCTCTTTCCTTTCTCTGAGTTGCTGGTAGAGCCCTAACTCACGCACCTCAGTGTCCCACAGACATTGGCACAGCCATATAGTTGGTCTTGTTTGGAAATATAGTTATAATGTTTTTTTTTTTTCTCCCCAGACACAATGTAAGGTCCTTGGCACCTTTATATCTTATGCTCACTGTGTAGGCACCATGGAGATGATCTGAACGCTTTGATTATAATTGCCAAGTGCCTCAGGCTGACTAAGCCACTCAGCCCTGGAGCCTCTGCTGGGTTGTGCTTTGGCCAGAAAATCCCTTCATCTATGGGCTTGTTTTTTCAGCTGTGAAGTAGGGATGGTGATGAGAATGATGATGATGATGATGATATTTGGGTGGTAGTGATGGGAATGATAATGGTGATGATGATGGTGATGGTGATGATGATGATGATATTCGGGTGGTAGTGGTAGTGATGGGAATGATAATGGTGATGATGATGATGATGGTGATGATGATGATGGTGATGATGGTGATGATGATGATGGTGATGATGATGAGAGGTAAATGAGTGTGAATGAAGGAAGCCCTTAGCACAGTGCTCTCTGTGGAGTAAGTCCCTAATGCGTGAGCTATTTCCTCAGTAAGATTCTTTCTTTACTAAGAGGGTGTCACATGGTGGTAGCTGCTTGTTGGGAGACAGAATAAGAGTCCCTTTCTGGGTTTGTAGTCTAACTTGCCATCTACAAATGAGTATAAGGATCAAGGCATGATCTTATTGCTAAGGCTCTTCTGGATAAACATGTTATTGTTCTGTGACCTCGACTCTGTTCAACACAGGAACACAGGGGCAGTGACCTTGTCCTCTTCTGCACACGGGGCACCAACTGTGTCCTCTTCTGCACACGGGGCGCCAACTGTGTCCTCTTCTGCACACGGGGCGCCAACTGTGTCCTCCTCTGCACTGGCAACAGAAACAAGATGAAACACTGGTCTCCCACGCTCACTGCATGCGCCTCTTCTTGCAGGGTTCCACTACTCTCCATCATCTTCTAGCATTAGGCTGGTAGGATCAAAGTGATTCAACTCAGCCAACACTTTCTGTCTCAAGGGTACTCAGGAATTCTTCCAGATACAGAGTGAGGTGGGTCACAGAACCTGCCTCCGAGGCGCCCAGAGGACATGGGAAGACTGTCTAGTAGAAGTCACCAGAAGTGACCTCAGTCCATTTAAATGGGAGGCACAGGATCCTGGAGGAAAGCCACCTATTGTACCTCGGGGAATCAGGCTTGTGTATAGGGCTGGCATGTGAAGTGAGCCTTGAAAGCAGTGGGTTATAAATATTTATAATGATGATTTCCTGTTCACTGAGACTAGCAAATGAGGCCTATAAGGCATGATCTCCACTCTCAGAGACTGTCTATCAGAAAGGCTGTGGAGAAGCGTGAGGCTGAACAGGCGGTGTGACCTGCATGGACATGAAGGTCAGCATGCTGGGGAGAAAGGAAAGCCATTGGAGGCAGAGGCATAGGACGTGGGGAGAGAGCCGGGCTCCCAATTCAGACACAAGCTGTAGGTGAGGTCGGCCGTGGGGAGGGAGTAGGTAGGGCTGGGAGGCTGCTAGACCTCACCTGGGCCTGTGGCTCTGGCATCCAGGGCCTGCCTGCGCTCCAGCTGTGAGGGAAGGTGGCTTTCAACCTTCACTGCGGGGTCCACAGGTGCAATTATATAAGCCCCAGGAAACATCCAAGCAAAGTCGTGGTGAGACCAAGAAGTGGTCCAGCTGTTCCTAGCCCTGTCTTCCTGGTAAGCACGAGAAGCCACTGGGACAGAGCCCGTGAGCATCATTCTCCTCTAGTCTGCCTGAGGCAGCAGGCATGTGCGGTGTGCTCCGTGGGATTTGACAAGTTTTAACAAAAATACGGCCTGCTGCACTTCTCAGAATAGAATCGCAGTGCTACTCCACTTCTAGTCAGCTGCTGTAGACAATACCTCCCATCACTCACCCCACAGTTTAGTCTAAAACAGTAGTTCTCAATCTTCCTAATGCTGAGACCCTCGTGGCGTGATGACCCCCAACCATAAAATTATTTTTGTTGCTACTTCGTAACTGTAATTTTGTTACTGTTATAAATCGTCATATGAACATCCGTGTTTTCTGATGATCTTAGGTGGCCCCGGTAGGAGCATCATTTGACTCACAAAAGGGTCACAACCACAGGTTGAGCACCAATGGTCTAAAACAAAAGCCACTTCCCGATACAACTGAATCACTACTAGGTTTTGTTTATTTGTTTGTTTTACTTTTTATGACAGTGTGTCTCTACATAGTTCTGGCTGGCATGGAACTCACTCTGCAGACCAGGCTGGCCTTGAACTCACAGAGATCCGCCTGCCTCTGCTAGGATTGAAGGCGTGCGCCACTACTCACCACTGCTCACTGCTGCGAATTTAAAGGACGTCCAAGTGACTCTTCCTGAGGATGTCAGCAAGGTCCCCCAGGTCAGAGGCTGGTCTAGCTGGGCTTGCAGTTTGCCAGGGGTGTGACCTTGGCTGCTAACTAAACCCACAGAGCTCTGGCTCCTTTGTGTGTGATGAAGGAAAACAGGCCTTTCCTCCCTGGTTGCTACAAAGAGGAAGCGAGGCTCCTGTTCATGTGTTTACCGCATGCTGCTTCTGGCTTCCATGATTGTTCTGGTTCTCTCTGTGTGTGGTTTTGACAGCTCCGGAGAGGGATGCATTCAGAGAGCACCAGGATCAGGAGGGAGGAAGGGGAAAGGGCACCGGTGGCTAATGAGATGCCACAGACTCTTCCCGTGGGAACAAAGGGACCTTTTGTTTCCAGGAGGGTCAAAATGTTTGCTCGACAATCTTGGACGACAGACAAAAGCAAGATCAATATCCTGGATGCCTGTCTCTATGGCCAAGTCTAGATGAATAATGCCATCAGGGACTTTGACCCAGACAGCCACACAAGGTGCCCCCGGGTCTTGACATGTCTTTATCCTCACTAGGCCTGCCCCTGTGGAGTTCACAGGAGTCACTTCCATAAATGTGAGCCTTCAGCTGGAAGCCTGCAAGAGCTTTCCAGGCTCCAGAAGAGAAAGAAACCAGGCTTCCAGACCACACGAACTGGCCTCTTGGAGGATCAGTCGACAGTGTCTAATATTTTAATGAACATTTGTTTTTGACACTCTGCATTAACTAGTTGTGGGATCATGGACAGCCAGTGGCTTTTCTAAGTTTGAAGTGGTGTTGTTTTCATACAGAATCTGAGGACTGGATTCAATTTACGCTGATTAGAACCACAACTGATGCATGTTTTACCTTAGGAATCTCCTGATGTTGAACTCAGGTGTTTCCATCTGTGCAAGGATGCAACCAAAGCCTCCCCCCCTCCCCCCAGCCCCCGTGAACCCATGGAGCAAGAGGGTAAGGTGGGGTCAAGTGGGGGGCGATGGGGTGTGCTGTGAGTGGAACCCAAGGCAAGTGCTTATGTCCATCCCATGCCAGAGTCTCAGAGCTGAAGCCAGGATTCAGGCACGTGGACAGCGGAGCTCACAGGCCCTGGAGCTCACTGTGCACACACCATGCTGTCCGCGATGGTCACGGTGAGGGGGAGCTGGCCCAGAGACGGCAGTGCGGGCCACAGAGGTGCGCGATCCACAGTGGCGTCGGCAGGGCCGTGCGGCCCCCATACTTCATCGTGTTATTTTAAAAACTGTTTCCAGGGGCTGAGGGGGCAAGAAGAGGTACTTTCTATATATAACAAGGCAAATAACAATGATCATAATAATGAGAAAAGCCAAGTAAGCACATGTAGGTGCGCTGTTGTTGTTTCTCAGAGGTTTATTTTGTCTGACGAATCTGACACCGCAGGAAGAGGAGAACCCAGAGGGGCTGCAGCCTCCTCACAGGTGGGTTTGGTGTTGGGTTCTTGGCTGGTTTAACTTGTTGTTGGAAGTTGTTTTTTTCATTCCCTTTTTATAAATCTCTCCCTGGGCTTGTGAGCATCCCCTCCCTCCCACCCACCCCCCACTTCATGTTTAAAAAGCGAGCTTGCTCGCCAGGTGGGTCCCCCAAGCTCTCGCGGCTCTAATAAATAAGGAGCACCTGTAAGACAGTAGCTTGGCTCGACTGTACAAAGAGTATATAGAAATACAGTATGTACACGCATCCACGGCCCCAGTGCCGCAAAGTACGGGGACACCAGCCCTGCCAGCCCCCCCAACCATGACTGCCACCCTCCCGCTGAGGCTCCGCGGCCTGGAGGGGTGGGGCACCCGGACCCCCTCCCGAGGGAACAATTGCTTTTATTTGAGTTAGTAAACAGATACACTGAATCACAAGGTGATTTGATTTGATTTTTTTTTTAAGGTTTTCTTCTTTTTTTTGGAATTTTTTTCTTTTCTTTTCTTTTTTTCTATACTCATCAGACTGGGGCACTCCACGACTGTCTCACGGACTCAGTGCCAGTACACATGTTCTAGAGGACTTCTGGACTCCCAGCTACAACTGTACAAGTGCACACAAGTAAATCTACCCTGTTACCCTCCACCCACTGACCGAGGATCGAATTGCACATTTCTCTTCAGCACGACAGGAGAAAGCAAACAGTGAAACAGAATCCCGGGCGATCTTTCTCACTTTTCCTCTTGTTTTCATTGGTTCGTCCATACCATTCCAATTATCATGAAAGGACTCTGCGTATAGAGAGATTGTCTCACTGACTTCCTGGATCTCCGAAAACCATCAGGGTTGAAATTTCATCCGAGTCTTTCCTGACGCCCAGCAAATATCCCCCCCTCAGATTATATTACACCTTGAGGGCATTTCGGTCTTCAGTTCAACACTCTTGCTCTGTTCCCAAATGGGGCGCTATTTAGGGGCATTTCAAGAGAAAGCTGAGAAGAATAAACATTTACCGAGTTCTCCTGGCATTCGGTCTCTGTAAAACCACAGTATAAACTATCCATGCTGCTTCTCACATCTGGCGGATCGAAAATTAAAAGCCATAAAAGTGTAACACTGAAAATATGGCATCAAAAGGGATAAAGGTGGCCTTTGTAAAAAATAACATGAAAAGTTTATTAGCCAATAAAATATTCTACCTCTTCATTTAAAAGTGCATCGTGGGCTGGGGTAGAGACGAATCTGAAGCTTTGGACTCCAGCACCATCCCTCTCCTCACCAAAACGTGAACAGTTCTCTTCCTAAACCATAAAAGCAAATCACAATTCTTATCGTAGCAGCAAACCACAGCAGTTCTTAAAAAGATTTAAAAAAAGATTCTTGTTTTCCAGTCCCTAACATCTTCCGGCCTCAGCCGTAGAGCCTTGAAGATGGGGTGAGAATACCTACATTGGTCCTTGTGGCGTGTTGGTAGTGTTTGTTTGTTTCCAACCAGCGAAATCCCTAAGTTCCTCTGGGGAGAAGCAGAGATGGGAGGGAGCGGGAATGCTGGGCCCAAGCTTGGTGGGTCCAAGATGAGCTGGCTTCTCTGGCCTGGAGGCCACCAGGGAGGGCTGCTTCCTCCAAGATGTTTAATGACAGGAAGCTGTGTTATTTGCTTGAATTTTAGCCAGAGGGGGGTGGTGAGCTGACCAGCTGGTGTCATTGGATGGCATGACATGATTTGTTCCACGCCCTTCACCATGCAAGGTACCCTGGGAGCGAGAGTTCCTGGGAAAAGATGAGAAGGAGCCATGAGAAAGCACTGGACCAAATCTCTCCCCACCCACCCGCCTCCTCCCACCCTGCCAAGCTGCAGAGACCCAGTCAGGAGTGAGAGAGCTGCAGCTCCCAGCACGAGTTCACCCTGAGCCGAGTCCCAGAGCCGAGGCCTCAGCTGCATGATCTCAGAGAGCTTCCTTCAGTCTGCTCAGGATCGGTCCTGCCAGCTTTGTGTGAGCAACGGGAAACTTGAGCCCTCTTTGGAAAACCATAATGAGCATGGTGGACCACGCCCTCCCCAAAGACCACAGCATCCTTTGCAACCAGCAGCTTTCGGCCTCCACATGACTACATGATTAACCAGCAGGAGGTCTTTTGAGTCGCCCAGGGTCACTCCAAAGCCAGGCAAGGTCATAGAGAGACCCCAGATCTGCAAACCTCATTGCTGTCCTTCACATATTAACTCTGGTGTTTGAGGACTGAGATCTCAGAGAGTCACGATTAGTAAATAAAGTCATATTGGTAGAAAACTCACACACACACACACACACACACACACACACACACACACACACACAGGCACGCACACACGCACGCATGCATGCATGCATGCACATACCCTTTTCTTTGGAATTTCCTACGGAGGTAACTAGGCTGGAAGAAATAGCTGCCCCCATCTGTGGGTCCTACCTGTCAGAGGTAAGCCACGGAGAGCTCTTCACACCAGAGCAACACAGGAGCACAAGATGGGCAGACGACAAACCACCTACGCCTAGCGAACGTGGCCAGAGGGTCCAGACTGAACTTTTAAACTGGTTCCTGGGGATTGCCACCCCCACGTCCACCACATACTTGAGGCTCCACCTCTGCGTCCTACAGGGCTTCTATTGTTTGCTACCAGGCCCTTGCCCCGAAGCACAGCCTCTTTGAAGAGTCAGGCATTCCCAAGAAGCAGCCAGTTAGAAGCCTGCCCTGCCAAGTGTGCGGTCCCCGAGGGCTCCGGCCTGGGCCATCTGTCTACCTCTCCTGTCTACATTAGCGGCTGGCTGGCCATGGGCGTTCCACTGTTTTGTCAAATGAATGGGTTAAGTAGCTCTCTTCCACTATGTCTCCAAAGAGGCCTTCCGCCAACAAACGTGGCTGTCAGAAAGGGTAAAACTTGGCTAACGTGACGTGGTGGCACAAGACTCACATACATCTTTACAACCACTGAGATCGACAGTTGTAACTCTCAGAATAGTGAACAAATGACTTCACAGAGGTGATACAATTTAGGAGTCAAAGGGAACCCCAGAGATGAAATAGGACAATTCCACTTTTTAGAAGGGGAAAAAGCCCAGAACCCGCTCAAGCTGTGCAAACCAGGATTTTAGCCTGAGAGCAGGGAGGTCAGCGGCCTGCTGGGAAGACTCTGCAGAAGGCTGTGCTTTGAACCCTGCTGTTCAAATCCTGGTGTTAACGGCGGCGCTGATAATAATCATCAGCCAAAAACAAGGTTTGAAACTCTCAGTGTGCGCGGCAGGAAATGCCTGAGTTCCCCAAATCACATTAGATCACCAGACCCCTGTGCATTTAATATGTATATTAAATAACCAGAGGGAAAACGCACAAGGCCACAAGTATGCACCAGGGGTGGAGCGACAAGGCCACTGAAATCTTTTCATTTGGCGCAGACAGGTCTGGATATGGGGACGCTTATCCATGAACACAGAGTTCGCATCCCCTAACCCTCCTTTCTGTCTGGAGACCCCAAAACAAAACCGTCAAGAAACGGCGGCACACCAGAAGCCACAGGAGATTGCCAAAGAGCTGAGCAATGAAAAGTGGATTAGAAGACACAGGGCCACTTCTTCTGGGGACACTTCCTTTGCTCTGTCAAGCACTGCCCAGAGGCTGCTGAGGAGGCCGGGAAAATATCCCCACCTCTGGGCCTGGGACCAAGAGTGACCACATCTTGGAGCTGGGAGGCAGGGGTGGGGGTGGGGTGTCCAAATTCTTCCTTTTCAAGGGAAAAGAGAAGAAGAGGGGCTTTAACATTTCCTCCCAGTGACTGGGAGACACCACCACTTTTAATCGTCACAACGGTTTCTTCTGTGATGTATACAGCGCTTTTTTCTTTAATGCAATCACAACCCAAAGCGGGGTGGGGTGGGGGAGGGGGAGGGGAAGGAATATCTCTCAAATAAGTGTCTTTGTATTCAAATCACCATTGGACAAAGACCAAATATGCCCAGCATCAGCCTATGTGGAGGAAATGTCTAGGCTTTCATAAGAGACTGGGAAATCGGGCTTTATAATGAGAGCCGTTCTGGAACCCAAAGCACAGCGCTTGCCATCACCAACACTATAATAATCATTATTATTCTCTGGTATCTATTATTGTCTGGTAAATAATATGTGTTTTCCCCCCAAGTTCCAAAGGGTGCAGCTGCATGGCGTTCTATTTTTTGCAGCCCCGGGCCTGCTACTTTGCAAGCCTACTTACACGGAGCTTATTTTAAGAGAGTGCGAAGGAGACCGTGTGTGCCCTTGCCTTCGTCTCTTGGCACACGTGTGGCACCTGGGACATCCCCAAGGGCCAGAGGGTGGCAGTCTCTTTCTGCTGGCAACTTCTGAGGCGGGGGTGGGGGGTGGGGTGGGGCGGGGGTGGGGGGCGGGGGTGGTCTTAAAGCAAGCCTCTTTCACTAGTTCCAGGCATCCAGGCAGCCCCCTTGTTGGTGACCCAGGCCGTGAGCCTGGTGTTAGTGCCACGGGGACCAGTGTGGCCTTCCCTCTCCTGGTTTTCATTGTTGGTAACGTAAGGAGACCTGAAGAGCAGGGGAGAAACAGCCTTGGGGACTTAGAAAGTGGTCATGTCAGGAAGCTAAGGACCTTTGCCTCACAGAGGACTCCTGTGGAAGAACTGTTCCCGGTGTCCAAATGTCAGCATCTGCACAGGGCAGAAACTACGAGAGACGGGAGAGGCAGTCCGGGGTGCCCATCTTAGCTGCCTGTGTGTTCTTGGACGTGTTTCTCACTGGCCCTTCCCCAAGGCTTGCTGAGGGGAGCCTGAGTGGGGCTCTCTGCTGCATCTCTCGTCTCCCTCAGGCTGATCAGGGGACCTTTTGACAAAGGTCAGTACCGAATATACAGTCTTGCACCTTGAGCGACCGGTGTTTGTCACTACATAAGGAAGGTGCCCTTTCTGGATCTTCAGGTCCAGAGTTTAAGAGTTTCTTTTGCTCTGTGGACACGAGTACCCACATACACACGTGTGCATGTGCATATACACCCTGTGGCAGAGATTTCTGGAGTGCCTCTGAGTGCAAAGGATCCTGGGAAAGTGTCCATACTTGTACCTTACAGTTTGTGTTTACTCTGAATGATGGGTTTGTCTACAGGCAGGATATCATCCATGTTCCCTGGAGTATCTCACACACACACACACACACACACACACACACACACACACACACACACACACACGAGCCCATATACAAATCCTAGAACTACCATGCTTGGTCTCTATGGGGTATGGGTGGCCAGCTGTCCTCAAATTCCAGACATGCCTTCTCTCTCTCTCTGTTTTTCATGTCTTCCCTTTCTACCCAGAAGAGTGAAACAGCCTCTCATGGAATGACAACTGCATACTAAGAGGGCTGAGAGATTCTCTGTCCACCCGGCAAGTTCACGAGGAAGCATTACTGAGAATGTGATTTAATTACCCATCTTCCTTTGCCACATACAGTTTTTCAAAGGGCTGAGAGCAGAACTGAGCCTTGACACTGGTAAATTCTTCAATGCTAACTCTCTCAAAACACGACCGTTCTCACTTGCACCTCGCTGAGTTACCACCCAAGGTGCATGCTGTTGCATTTTAGAAAATTTCCAGACAACCACTCCCAAAAGTAAGTGTGGACCTGGAAAAAACAACAATAACAACAACAACAACAACAACAACCGGTCTCGTCTTAAACCCAACAGTTCCAGGCTAACCTTTCTGTGATGGGAGATGTCACCTTAGCCAGGAAGTGTCCCTCCTTTAACCTAGGCTAATATCCAGATTTTTACTCTTATCTCGTTTCTTAAATACCTTTGTGATTTGCATAACCAAAATCTAGTAGGCCTGTCCTGTCTCGCTTATTTATCAGGCAAGGCCCCTGCTGTCTGTCATATTTGTCCCAGGTGTCTAAAACCCCATGGCACCAACCTATGATGGACAAGAAATGCCCACTGCCAAGCCGGCTTGCCTTTGCCCAATTATTCTGGCCCTAGTAGAGATCCACTCACTCGAACACTGCTGCCCATCACTTATCAGAGTTAAATACAGCCATTACGTGCTGGCAGAGGCTTCGCTGTTTATCTGGGACAATAACCAGTCCCTGAGGACAGACTGCTCTCAGGTAGCAGCGGCTATTCTGGGACACTCACAAGGGTGGAACCCTGTGGTCAATGAACAGAGCCGCCTGCAGCAGCTGATAAACTCTGAGCTCAGTGCCAGCGAGGGGTCCCTCACCCACCCCGTCACAGCCAGGGCTGTACAGCTTGACCAGGCTTTGCCAAAAGGCGCCCTCCCCCCCACCTTCTATGTCAACCATGGCTGTGTGAAGAATTCTGAAATGACTTTCACCAGGTTGCACATTTTTAATCTTTGAAAGGGATGCCATCTCTTTTCTTATATCTCATCGAATGAAAATACTTGAAGGACAGCCCTTCTTCCTAAAGGGCATATAGGGGTTGAGGTAAACTTCAGCTTAGCCCTACTCTGGCTTCTGGATTTCAACGTTATCACTCACCCTGCTGCTCTGACATGCTACTACACGTGTATATTTACTTTAACCAAGTATATATTGCATATCTATCTACCCATCCATCCACCCATCCACCTGTCTGTCTGTCTATCTATCTATCTATCTATCTATCTATCTATCTATCTATCTATCTATCTATCTATCTATCCATCCATCCATCATTTTTGTTTTTCAGAAAGTCTCATATAGCCCAGGCTGGCCTCAGACTTACTATACAGT